ATTTTCAGGGTCTAATATTCTCTTAAAAGTTGCTTTTGAACACTCCAGTGATTTTCGTCTCCTTCCCACGCCTGCGTGAACAACAAACTCCTCAGTCTGTCCACGATCCCTTTCTACCAGCAACAGCTAACAGGGGCACCTGCAGTCTCCAGGCTTCAGATGCAATTCCACTTGCAACAACTAGGTTAGAAATACAGGGTCTAAATATATCTAAGTGGTATTTCAAAAGAATATAGTCTGTTACTAAATTTTAAGCAAATTTCACATAACTTAATTTTCATATTCATTAACCAAAGCTATGTAAAAGGCATAAAAATAAATTATAGGATCAAATGTCCAATCTTGACAGAAGCAGTCTTCACATGAGCAGGAATAGACATTTAATGTGTTTTAGAGATTAGTTAAACCTTATTTTTACACACCTATATTTATGTATTTTACAATTCTATACTATATGCCCCAGTAAGACTGATTCTCAAATAGTTTCCTTGGATGCTGGTGGTGGGCAAGTAACATTTTTGTCTGTCCAAACTCTTTTGAACACCATCTCGACATCTGCTAGCTCCCCAGTGCAGAGCCTGCCTTACAGCCCAGGGATCAGTAAAAGCACACCTCCCAGCCTCCACTGGGGTGTGTACATCTGACTCTTTGCCCACAGAGGTTAGATGAGAGAAAAAGAAAGCCACTGGGACTTCATTTTGCCAGCATGGTCGGCATCATCTCAGGGCTCCTGGGGTTTGTGTTGATGGTGGTGACAGTTTCCTGCCTACAGAGAGAGGTGCAGCAGACTCTGACATTGGGCCCCAGCTCTCTTCTCTAGCCAGCGCTGTTGTGGGTTCTGAAATTTGGTCTTGAAGGCTCAGCTGGTTCTGTGAACCTTTCTAAGGAGTCTTAATTTAGTACCTCCCTCTCAACTGAAGTCAGCTCAGCAGTTCTTGGAAGTGTCCAAGGACCCTGGGGGACCCTGAGACTGCTACAGGGGCTCTGAGAGATACTCCCTTTTCTAACCTCGTACC